AGTCTGTCTCTCTGCAGCAGCACCATATGGTTTCACTTGATCAGTCCCACTCAATAAACCACATCCGAAATCTCTTCAGGACAATACAGGGTCTGCTCCACCGGCTCTGCAGCCATGGGGACAAGACCTTCTTCCATCCAGAGCTGTATACCTACAACAGCCCACCAGGGACAAAGCTCTCTCCTGGGCTGCATCTGGCAAGACTCCGTATCCGTTGGGAGTCCCACTTGGTCCTGCTGCAGGGGAGCATGCGATTGCTGGGTCAGCCCCCACTGGGGTGCACAGGAGTCCCCACCTCTGCTGGTGGGGGAAATGACTGGTGGGACTCCTGCCTGTCATGTACCAATGTCCTGATCATCAGCACACCAGCATGGCTGGTGCTCCTTCTTTCCACTACTCCTCCAATATGAGCCATCACCTGCTTGTCTGGTCTAGGTGGACACCGGCCAGGAAAATGGTGTAGGTGTGGATGAGCCCCTGGCTGGTCCCGGTGGTGTAGATGAGCCTAGGGCCAGCCGCTCCAGCACTGTGATTGGGCGCAGCCTTCCCTATTGGCAGCATGGAGGGCCACAGCATCCACACTCAGGCAGACCGTAGCCCAAGGCACATTTACCATGGCCCCCCAATCTGTCAGCATGTCAAGGCTGATGATGCATGATGATCTTAAATGCTGGCCAGTCTAAATCAGTGCTCAACAGCCAGCAACAGTCAGTTTGAGTGTCCTGTCTCCCCACATCTTCACACTCTCCCCAGTGATTGCAGTGATGTGCTGCTTGGTGGCCTCCACTTCCAGGGTCTTGGCCCTTCCGTTCCCGGTAATGTCCCCGAGCACACCAGGGAGATGGTGAACCCCATGTCCACCAAGGTGCAGCATATAGTGCCCTTCAGTTCACAGTCGAGGAAAAAGCTGTTTTCAGCCCAGGTCTCTGACCCTCAGCTGTGACAGGTTGCACATAGTAGAGGAGTCCAGAGATGCTGGGCTCCATGGTGCCAGTGTTGGACTGTGGCGAGCAATGTGGCCTAGCTCCCCACAACAGTAGCACCCTTTTCTGTGCTGCTCAGCTGCCCTCCTATTTCCTTGCCATGACAGTGCCACAGCTGGCTGGGTGGCTGCTTCCTCCTCTATGTCCACCTGCTGCACTTGGTGCTCTGGCCTGGGGGAGCACAGCACGTGCTCCACTTGCTCTGTCACGGCCAGATGGTAGTGTGCCAAGACTGAGGTGCTCTCAGAGTCAGGGTGGAGTCTTTGGATGAAGGCCAGGAGAGTAAGCTCTTCCAGTGTCGAGCTGTCGAAGGTCAGATACCCATGTGAAGAATAGAGGCGGACGTCGGCAGCATAGGTGCCGAGGCTTTCTTGCTCCCCATGCTGTTGGTCATTGTCAGCATGGACGCATCACCCAAACCTGTGATATAGTGCTCTCTCAATGGCAGACCAGTCGAGCCGCTCCTCAGGTTGGAGGTTAGTGAGGATCTGCAGAGCCCTGCCCTCCAGGCCAAGGGCAATACAGGCAGCAGTCTTCTCAGTTGATCAAGCATTAAACTGCGCTGCCATCTGCACTTGGATGAGGTACATGTCTGATGGCTCATCCCTACTGTAGTGTGGCAACTTCAGCTCCCCTCAGTGGCTGGGCCCTGGCTCTGTGCTCTGGTCTGCTGGATAAATTACCATCTGGCTGAGAGCTGGCTTGGCTGCCCACAGCTCTGGATCGGCTGGTGTTGGTTCTAGGGTGAAGCTGTTGTGCTGGTAATCCAGTGCGGCTCCGATGGCCTGCCTGGTGGGGAACACCGTCTCTATCAGTGGTTTCATTTTGGCAGGCTCTTGCTGGTGGTGTGGTGATGGGCAGTTCTCCAGCTTCTGCAGGGACTTTCACTTTGGGTCATGCTCTGCAGCACCAGAAATTCTTCAAACTCCCACAGCGACATCAGTGTAATAAAGGCTGAATGGAACAGACCAAGTCAGAACTGTCTTATTGTGCCATCTTCCATCCTCCATATGTCACACAACCGTGTAGATGCTCTGTGAACACACACAGCTATTTACATCTTGGCTGAAGCCCTTTAGTCCCACCAGAACCCTCAGTCATACTGTCTTGGCCCAGCTGGCCTGGTCCTGCCCCACATAACAAAACATGAACACAACAGCAACTCTGAAGCACACAGTCTTTGTCCACAACAGCAGGCGGGAGTCCCACTGGTGCCCTCTACCTGCCAGCACGCTATAATACTTTTACTTTTGGTACTTTAAATATGGTTTCTGCTAATGTGTTTGTACTATTACTTAAGTAACATTTTGAATGCAAGACTTTGAAAGTACTTTTACATTGTGGTGTTGCTACTTTTACTTAATTAAGGAATCTGAGTAAGTCTTATGTTCGAGGACATGAAAAAGAAGCTCACAGGAGCTGGTAATGAACAAACCTGTGTGGGGGTTCTGTTTGCTTCAGAATGAGCAGAGACATCGCAGGTTTGTACAGATTAAAATGTAAATTAACAGACTGTACATGGTCAAGAATCACACAGCGTCCGCCCAGCTTTAACTTCTTACTGTGTGGTCTGACCTACAGGTTGGCCCAGGACTGACCGACTGACCAACCAGCCATGACCTCACACCAACTAACTAGAAACCTACCTGCCTACTAACTGAACTCCGAACTAAACAGGCCTGAAGTCCACCAGCTCCGTTTCACTGTGTGTCATGTACTAATTAGTCCAAACAGAAAGCCTCGCCTGTATGGAAGGGATTCTGGGTAATGTAGTGCGGCCGGTCAAGCTGCACAGACGGGAGAAGACAAGAAATGCTGCTCTGAACTGAAGAAAATCTACTTAGTTTACGGTGTGTCAGACTAATGGCTGAGGCCACTGCTATGGAGCGACCTTTATAAATAGACTACACACACAGAACATCTGGTTTACATCAGCCTGTTGCTGTTTTCCCATGACCTCTCCCCTCATGTCCACATCTGGACTCATACACACTCATGTCTGTGTGATTTCAGTGAAACAACACTTCCGTTGCAGGAAGTCTCCTCAGAGCTCCTGTTACTCTTCAGACTACTGGCTTGTTTGTTTTATTTGTTGTGTCCCAGTACAGCTGTTTGCAGATGTTTCAGTCACATTTATATGATTTGTGTGTGAAGAAGCAAGTCAAAAAAACATTGAGCCTTTCTTCAAATGCTCACACATGTTATTTTCTCATTTCATCAACTTTAACAAGAGAAGATCCATGGTAACCACGTGCAGGAGTTTGGGCCCGTCCTCAGTCGATACTTCCTGTAGTGAGCCAGATATCGCAGCCTGTGGCAGCTCAGGCTTTCTGATGACTGGTGCATGTCCAGCCTCTCCCTCCAGAGCAGCTTCAAGTTGCACTCCACTACATGTTACTGTGTCATTTTTTAAATAAGCCTGGTTGTTTCACAGTGGTTTTACAATAGTTTGACCTGTACCACAAATGATGTCAGTCACTTTGAAACAGAAACATTCAGTTGAATTGACCAGTGAGATCAGCAATTTCCTTTGAGGTCACAGGTCAGAGGTCAAACGCTTTGCCGGTCGTCCTTTGTCTCCAGAGCAGAGAGGATATTGATCCGCTATAGTGAGAACAGCCTGAATGTCTGTTGTGACTAAATCACAAAGCAGCAGAGGACCTGACCATTTAAAATGCAGCATCCTGTGTCAGTCAGTGCAATCAATAATTTGATCCACAGCAGGTGCTGATCTGACAGGTTTCTGATCAGTCATAAATAATCAATCAGCCTGGGAGGAGAAAGAAAACAGAAATCCAACCAAACTGGTCCCAGCCTCCTTGTTAATCTTGGACAGTGACGGAGTTTCCTGCAGGACGCTGGAGCTCCTGTCCTGTTGCAGACTAACAACTGATGTTTATGTTTGAGCTTCATTGAGGGATCAATAAAGTACCTACCTACCTACCAGACTGTAGCAGCATAGACCTGAAGGTTCAGGATTGACCTGTGACCAGGACACAGACAATCTCCAGTGATCAGTCCCCAGTAACACCAGTCAGCCAGACATATAATACTAGTGTTTCCAACAGGTCTTTTAAATATCTGGTGGGTTTTTTTTATGCCCAAATGGAAAAACTGGTGGATGGAAACCCATTTTGAGTCAGATTGAAATAAAATTTGCTCTGGTTCAGGATTAATTTGTGGCTCAGCCTGGACCTGAGAATGTATGTTAGATATGCTCTGTCATGTTCATGTGCCCAACTCACCCAAACTCAGGTGTGTGCAGACTGGCTTTCACTCTCTGTGTCAGACACTCTGAGGACAGCACATGTCATAATATGTGCGGGGTATTTCACAAGAGTCGGACCCTCTTGAGAGATTTTATAGTTATTTTTTTTCCTCTTTCAAAATCGTCTTTATTGGCCAGGTGTGTCAGACACACGAGGACTTTGACTCTGGTGCATCGGCTCTCCATGCGCATGTACATGTCCCCATGCAAGGGGCAAGTAAACAGTAAACCAGCACAAGGCTGTGTAATATAACAAAATAAGCAGTATTAACAGGCAACAAACAGTCCAAACAATGCAAAATAAGCAGTATAGACAGGCAGTAAACAATGCAGACAGACAATGGAATGCTCATTGTGAAATGGGATAAATAGGAATAAAAACAGAGTAATTAAAACTAGAGACCTGTACGAGTCTGTACGAGGTATATTTACAGGTGTTGCACTGAAGGTTATTGTCCAGTCATACTGTCGTTGGTCAAGTGTCCATCAGAGTGACAGCCTGGGGGAAGAAACTGTCCCTGTGCCTGGTTGTCTTGGTGCACAGTGACCTGTAACGCCATCCAGAGGGAAGGACTTCAAACAGAGTGTGTCCACGGTGTGAGGGGTCAGCAGTGATCCTCTCCACCCTCCTTTTGACCCGTAAGGTCACACAGAAAGCTCCAATCATTTGTTTTACTACTGGACAAACGAAGTGGCTTTTATTTTGGCAGTTTGTATGCATGCCTGACCTGTACTTCCTGTGCCCACAGGCCCCTCCTCCTCCTCCAGTCCCAGCTTGCTGACTAAGAGTCTTGCTCTGGAGCCATCCTGTTCACCATGCGGGCACCATGGGGCTGTGGACATTGATGCTTCACAGCAAATGAGCTCTGGCCCCGGGTCTAAGTCGTCATCCTCAGGCCCCGCCTCCCTGGAGGGAGAGGCGGGGCTAGCTGAACACCGCGAGTCTAATAATGGGCTGCTGCTGGCCAATGACACAGGGCCACCAGAGCTGCCAGCTACCACAATAACACAACTGCACAAGAACAGACCGCCACTGCCTGGGCCTAAGCCTCAGGGTGAAATTTTTTAAACCTTAAACATATACATTTATTTTATCTTGGATATAATATATGACATCACGAATTGACCTGTGGCCCTCCCTACACAGTCCCTCCGAAGCCCCCCCACCTCCAGCAGCAGGCAGGGGGATCGAGGGCAACCCCCCCGGCTCC